GAAGGAGGCGGAGGTGAAAGAAGAGAAACATGAAGAAGAGAAGGAGGTGGAGGTGAAAGAGGATAAAAAGGAAGAAGAGAAGGAGGTGGAGGTGAAAGAAGAGAAAAAGGAAGAAGAAAAGGATGCGGAGGAGAAAGGGAAAGAACCGGACAAAAAAAGGAAGGCTGAGGTGAAAAAGGAGAAAAAGAAAAACAATGATGATGCACAAAAGGTGCGCAAAATGGAGGAAGAAAAAACACAGAGCAACGTGAAAGGCAAAGAGAAGAAGCCGATGGTGGAGATCGAGACTTGTGAGGTTGAGGATTCTGAGGATGAACAAGCTGCTACGGCCGACACCTTTCGAGACCGGAAACCATTGGTCCAAGAACCGAAACCTGATCAAAAGCGTCAGAATGAGTGCTTAAAGATCATGTCGAAGTTGGAGAACGAGGCAGACCTCAAAGACGTCATTGAGGCTCAGCGACGTGTTGCCAAGTCGCGGAGGGAAGAGTTCGAGGCTGCAGAAGACCCTGACAGAGCACTTCGAGATGAGGAGGAGTCTGAAGAGAACGCAGCCAAGCAGAAAAGGAAAGGGAAGGGGCGAGGACGAGGCAAAGGTAGAGGAAAAGGAAAGAAAAGTCAGAGGGATGATGATGTGGGGGGTTCAGATGATGAGCCTGAGAAGGTCAAGGAGGAGAAGCCCAAACAGACTAAGAGGAAAGAAGTAGCAAAGGAGCCTTCTGCTGAGTCGACAGCTCCACCGACAAAGCGAAGGAAAGCTGCGAAGGGTTCTGGTGCTAGCCCTCAGCTGTCAAGGTCAGCATCAAGGAAAAAGATTTTGAAGAGAATGGCAGAAGAAAAGCACAATGAAAGCAAGGAGGTGGAACCAAAGAAGGGGAGGAAGGATCAGAAGCGTGACGCAGTTGCTCGAAAGCTGAACTTCGAAGAAGCTGTTGAGGGCAAGGGTGAGGGTATAGACGAGGTGAATCCAAAGAAGAATACCGGAAAAGAAAAAAAGAACCCTGAACATGAAAATCAAACGAGGGAGTCTTGGACGCATGTATGCGCTGTCAAAACTATATACGTACGACGTACTGTATATCTCTCTCCATGTTCACCTGCCAACTCATATTCAACCCCACAAAACACATTAATTTAAAGCAATTTTAAACAGTGTTTTGCATGGGCCCAGGTAGAAGCATTGGAAGAGATCAATCGCGTGGCCAAATCTGACCCTGTCCTCGTGGTGCCGGAAGATGTGAACATAGGTGGAGAAGTGAAGAAGCCTTTTCCTTGGATATGTATTTCAAGCTGACTTCACTGGACGGATCCATGGTCATCTTAGGTCCTTTACCATCTCGCCCAAGTCGAATGCTACTGGCTTTGATTCGGAAGGCATTGCAAGTATTGGGGTCTTGCTGGGCACTCACTTTTCCTTGCAATACAAAAAAATCTGAATCCATGCATGCCCACATGTTTTTTTAAAATGTGACCAAGGCTCTACACTCGCAGCTACTATGTCCGCCCGGTTCCCGCAAAACGTTTGCAGCAAGTGAACAAGTCTTTGCAAAAGAGCTTGACGGTTTCTAATCATGCACTTAGAACAAGCAAGAACAAGCTTCCTTTTCTTTCCAAATGGTTGAGAGTTCTGGTCATGGATTGATCGATCGATCGATTGCGTCACCATCTCAGGGGAACAACGCAGGTGGGGTCTCTGTCGGCTGGCAAAAGCATGGAGGTGCTTCTGCAGGGTCAGGTCCCCAAAAACACATGCAAGTTAACCTGGGACATCCTGGGACTTCCTGTGGCACCAACTGCCATTCACCCAAGGTGGACCATTTGCAAAGCACTTGCTGGGTACGAACTGCCTGAGACGCGGTCAATTGATTCTGATGAGGGATCTGATGATGAGGAAGCCAACTAGAGCTTTCTTGGAGCGACCGATCATAGTTAGCACATTTTGGGAGCCCATCTTAGGGGATACATGGCTTGGTTATTAGGCTGCCCCTGAAACTAATAACAAACCTTCAAAACATTTGCATATGTGTATCAGCTGGAATGCTGGTTCCGTGGGCAAAGTGGCCAGGTCATGTGAAAGAAGCATTAAGCTGAAGTGCTTGTGGGCTGGGATGGAAAACGTTCGCAAATAAAGAACTTCAATTGGTGTGTGATTTGCATTGCACACCCTTGTAGTCCACTCGTTGTAGCACGCCTCACAACAAAGGTGGCCTGCAGCCATTTGACTGACTTGATCCTTTTTCAGGGGAGTGCACTATGGCTGCAAAGTCACCATTGTCGCTTAGCCGGCGAGCTGCCCACAGCTTGCTCCTTCTTGGTGCTCCACTGCTTTTGTTCCTCGGATCGGTGTGTGAGCGGTGTATGGCATGGCCATAGTTCGTAATATTTGCAAGTAACTTCAATTCAACATTTAGAATCATTTAGACTTTTTGGGAAAGCGCAATTGCATCCCAGCAAGATACTGATGAGGCTGCATTGCGCAGACTGGGTGGTGCAAAATGCTGATGCCGTTGACCAGGTGAAGGAGCAAAACAGATAATGAACTCATGCATTAATTTATAATGAACTCATGCATTTGCATGTTGGTTCCTTGGCAGGACGCAGCCTTTCTTGACCTGTTCTGCGGCCATGCTTCTGTATCTCGTGGGTTCCGCTCTTTCCCCAGCCATGCTCATGAATTTGCTAGATTGCTTTGGGGCTATACTCGTAGGAGTAGCAGTAACCCTTTGAACCTGCCTAGGCCATTATGGCCTTCAGGGGTCAGGGCCTAACTCTCTTCCTGGTTGATGTTACAGACTATCATTCATGGGATTGTAGTTTGGTTGAGGTTTAGCTATGACATCACCATTGGTGGTCAATGCCATGACATCACAACTACGCCTGGGCCCCAACTAAGATCAAAACAACCACCCAACGCAGTCCACGCACTGGACTCAGGCTAGGTTTCCTGGAGGCGCTGAAGCTCACGTTGCAGCTTGGGGCCAAATCCTTGATCCACTGCGGCCCACCGTGCGGATCTTTCGTGTGGATTAATGCAAAAACACATGGGAGGAACAAGGACCATCCTTTTGGCAACAGCTCCAAGTATGAGTATATCAAGGTTGCAAACCAGATGCTTAGCTTTGGATTGAATCATGCAATGGCCCAAAATGAATCAAAACTCCACAGATATTATAAATTATGTTAGATTCATGGTCTTTGCTGCCCAAGGATTGCATCTCGGATGGTCCTCCTTCTGTTGGTGGGCATTGTCCGTGGCTCTTTCTTCCTAATTGAACAGCCTCGTTCCAGTTTCATGCCCCACTACCCATACATTGCATACCTCCAACGCATTGTGGAGAAGTATGCTACATGGGCAAACGTGAATTTGTGCATGACTCAGCTCACAAACATATGTTGAGAACTTCGGAGCTTTTCAACATGCATTAGTGCCACGCTTTCTGGCCCAGTTGGATGGGAAGTTATGGTCACAGCTTCTTGAAGCCGACAAAACTATTTGGTTTTGGGCAGGGGTCTCAGCTGGCCAAGCTTCCGCCAGCTTCTCGGCCAAGCGCACCATCGTTCAGGCCCTTTGCCAACAAGCTGGTCCTCAAGCTGACGGACAAGGTCAAGAAACGTGCCCAAAAGAATGCCAAGAAGCGCAAAATGGTTATCAAGTCGATCACTAAAAGTGGTCGTCACCAAGTGTGACTAAGCTTGTTGGTAAATATCAAAGGATTGGTTATGATCAGAAACATGTTTTGTTGGGGGGCTGTGGGTTGGAATCAGTGTTTGCTAGATGTGGATTGAGGACTGGGGGGGCCAGCTTTGCGGGATTCCGCAAAATACCCTACTGGATATGGAAGGGCGGTTGCTAAGCTTTACAAGAACTACTTGGAGGAGCTGATTGGGAGGTTAGTACGAGCAGCCTAGCAAACACATAACATAATGCATGTAGCTCTATTGAATTTCCAACCCGCAGGAGAACCATTCCAACCCGCAGCCCACCATCAGCTTGCCGGACGACGTTGATGAGATGGATGGCGGTGCTCTCAAGGACAGGGTCCTCAGCTGGGATTAACACTTGCTTGATCTGAAACACAGTGCCTGATAAGATCGTATCAAAATCTACTAGACTTATAACATCGTACATCCTTTGGAGGCACCATATGCTTGGCGGCATTGCAACCTCAAGCCTCTCCGGGACTTCCTGAGACATGAAGTCAATGAGGGGCGCTTTACTCCCTTATTGTCTGTAGGTCTGGTGGACTGAGAAGTGTTTGGTTCACAGGCCATTTAATTCATGAGACGATTGAAGTGTGAGTTGCACACTCAACCTAACTGCCGTGGTGCCACTGAAGCCTTGCTAGGCTTAGGGCTTGGATCTGAATGGAATCATGAATTGGGTTCTTGAACTCTACTGTAATGGCAACAACCGTATGAGGGTTTGAGCTGGGTGTTTAAAGCTACTAGTACTAGATCCATGTGGCGTGAACATCGATGGGGGTGTTGAAAAAAATGGAGCGTGACTGAGCGTGAACAAACCGTGAGTAAATCGTGAAAGTACATTTTTGCACGTGAAGAGACATTTTTATCCGTGAACGACATTTGACCAAAAAAAACACCATTTTTTAACATTTGAATATTGTTAGAGTTAACTTTACAAAAAAAAGGAGTTCAAATCACTCTGAGCTGATTTTGCGGTCATATTTGTTTTCTCATAGGTGGCTTTGCAAGTTAGAGTGGTAGATCGATCTAGCTATGAGTGCAGAAGACCTTGTGCAAGCTGCGCTGGCCAGAGCCGCAGAGCGCACAAAAAGGGTGGCTGAACTCAATGCTGCCGGCTTGGACGAGAATGGTGGTATATTAGATGAGATAGAGGATGCGAACAAGAGGCCAGTATTGCGTGTTTGTTAATTACTCGTGCACCGGGCGAAATAGATCGTTCCAAGCTGAAGAGATGTTGAAGGGCAGAAAATATAGCATACATCGAACAAACTAGTTGGCCCTATTAATATACTATATTTTCTGGCCTTCAACCCCTCTTGGTTCTGGGCAGGATGGATGAAAAAGCTGCAAAAGGTGGGTTGCGACGAGGAGCTATTCCTCAACCTGCTGTGCATAAGCCATGTGCATGCATGCATATCATGAGCATATATAATTCAACAGTGCATATGTGCACGCACGCGCAAATTCATGTATTCATGTGTGTGTTGTGTGCCTGTTTAATTTGCAGCCTGCTCTCCAGGACTGACTTCAATGTCTACAATAGCAGGTGATCTGAGCGAACTGCAATTGCAAAGTATGAAATCCAAACAGCACACAACACCGCCAGCCAAGCAACAAGCCAGAACTACCGACAACAAAAGCACAGAACCCAAAACACGGCCAAAGTTGAAAAGAGAAGTGCAAAGCACACCATTGCTTGCAGAAGGTGAGAGCAAATCTGCAAAACCAGCCCAGCCCAAACGTTTGAAGCATCTTGAGGAACCAGCAGCAACTCCCGCGGCCCCTGTCAAGGCCAAGGGTTCGCAACGCTGCACTGCATCCAAAGCAAAAGCACATCCAAAAGATCCAAAGCAGGAAGCAGGTGCCAAGGCAGAGGAGAAGGGTAATGATTTGTCTGTGGCAGTGAAGGAGTGCTTGTCCCGTAAAGACACAACAGAACATGAGCATGGACACAAGGCAAAGGATGCAAAGCGCAAAACAGCTACAGACACGAAAGCAATCAAGCCAGATAGCAAGACCAAAAGCAAAGCAAAGCCGACAAGGAGCCCATCAGCTGCATCAGCTGAACCAGTGGTAGAGGATAGCGACCACGAGGAGACTGATCAGGATGATGAGGAAGCGCGTGATCAGGTTCGCCGCCGAAAAGATGCACACGCCCGCTTCATGCGGTTCTCCCGTTCGCTCAAGAGCAACCTGGCAAAAGTAACTTCGTGCATGGACAATATATATAGACTCGCGAGGGTGCAAGGCACATTGTAGAATACTTATTGCTATTTTGCCAAACCATCTCCTTAATCTATATCCCGTGGCTGAATCTCAGGCAAGAAGACACCGGGTGTCATTCGTGATGCCGGTAGAAAGGCGTACCGCTGCTGCTTGGATGAATGCATGCACATGGGAGCATGATGGAGCATGAGCATGTATGCAATGCAATATGTGTGCGTGCATGAGCAATACTTTTTTTTGAGCCCTGTATTTTGGGCAGGGTGACCTTTGAAATTGTGCTTAGCCCTTAGTCCCTAAGCGCAATTTGGGCACTAGATGTATTGGTGCAGGTGTGTAGGCCTGTGACAACATGTGCGCGCACCCAGCTTCATTTGTATCATGCTCAGGCTCGGAGCGCCTCACCATTTTGTATGAGCAGTGGGTGTCCTGCAGTGGGCACTGGCGTGAGAGCCAGTTTTTTTTGCGTATGTCCACCAGTAGCAGGCGCAAGAAATTTGGATGCCGCAAGTGGCTCACGCAGCACGAGTTGGCCATCAAATACGGTTCAGCTGAAATTGCGCAGTCAATAGTTGATGCCAAGGAGAGCGACGACAAACTGAGACTCAGTCACATCAGAAGCCATCCAGACTGCAAAGAACCTTGGCTTATTGGAGTACATGCTAGCTTCCTAACAATGTGCTCATAAAGGGCTTGACACCTTGAATTGAGGAGCTCAAACAATATTTGGTGTGGGACGTGGATGGTGAACAGGAGGAGGAGGACACCGTTCTGGAGAAGCTGTTCTCCGCTTCAGACCGCAGTGATGATCAGGGTAGGAAAAGGTCTCTGTCCAGGTCACGCAGTCCCAAGAGGTCAAGAAAGTCCGGAAAGAAGACCACAGGTAAGAAGAAGAGAAGGTCAACCCCTTCATCATCACCATCATCAACGTCAAGTGCGAGTGCATCCAAGTCCTCATCGGAATCCGCGAAGGATCACTCATTGTGAATGTGCATAATGGCTGTTTGCGCGCATGTGTTTTGTTGGTGCATATTTGTTTGTGTGCGTGCGTCCACGTGTAATTGAGTTGCAGGATAAGAAGACTGGAAAGAAATCTGGGAAAAACCGGAAGGGCAAGAAAGAGAAGAAACCTGAGAAGGAAAAGAAAGAGACACCGAAGCAAAAGGAGAAACGTGAGAAGAAAGAAGCAGAGCAACAGAAAAAAAGAAGCTGAAAAGAAAGCCAAAGAAGCTCTGAAGGAACATGTTAAGGAGGTTCGGAAGGCGCAGTAGGGATAGCACGTGTGTACGTACTATGCGTTTGAACTCAGCAAACTATGCCATACACCGTTGTTTCACCGCCATAGATGCATCCATCTATCTGTCAAGGCTCAAGCAAAGCTCAACGGACTGGTCCAAAAGATAATCATTGGTAAAGCCAAGGCTGATGGTATGCCACAACCCTGGCTTTGATCCAATCAGTCCATGTGTGAATGTGTTGTCGGTCTGCAACTTGGGGATTACATGTTTGAGGTCGGCTACACTGAAAAAGGCTCTCTTGGATGACCTCAAACCTCATGAGAAAAGCCTTGATTTACATCGAAGCAAGCTTCAATCGCAACTGGATCATGCTGAGGCCTAAATGTTTCGTTTCTCTTGTTTGGGAGTCGCAATCAAAACGTGTTTATTTGAGGGCAGGCCTTCAAAACGTTAAACCATTAAGACCGAACCTCATTCCCACTCATGTCCGTGATCCATATAGCTCCTGTGCAGTTTGCCTGCATTTGTTTACCCTTGGAGGTTGGAAAGGAGGATGAGCTCATGTCAGCTGCAGCCGCTGCAACACTTGCGGCTGATAAGGTTGAGAAGTTTTTGACTCTCTCAGGGTTAAAGTAGTTGCAGTATCGGCTGTGTGGCCGGGTTTATGTGGCCTTAGTTCGACAGCCTGAACTGCACTTGATGGGGCTTTTCAGGGCAAGGTGACCAAACAAATATAACTAGCCATGCTCCAACTAACTTGGTCTCCCAAGTTCAAGTTGATCAACGCGCAAGTGTCTTTTTTTGACCATCGATGATGAAACCTTGCCCTGATGGCTGGGGATTTGTGCAATTGCACTATACTGGGCACTCTAGCGTGCGCAATACTTCTCAAACGGTGTGAGCAAATTGACACTCGTGCTTTGTGAGATATCCTTCAAAGCTTCATGACTGCTCATGGGCAAAACTCATAAACTTATTATATATTATATATCGTTGGACACCTGAATGCTGAATGCTCCCGGAAGGTGCTGGTGTTCCCCATGTTCTACATCAACAAATAGACCTTGTTGCTGGAGGGGCGCCTAGGTTGCAAGGTTGTCCAAAACTACTTTGTGTGGGCCGCTCTTTTGCCTTTACCCTTGGCCCGTTTCTGCCCAGGCATCCTCGGCCGGACAGGCCATGGGGCAAATCCGTGCTCACCTTCGTGCGCCTTGGCTGGATCTTGAAAGGCTGGGCTTGGGGCCCTGTGTGCAAGCACCTGAGGAATCTGGTCCTGGTTCAGTTCATCCACAGTCTTTTGCCCTTGGACGAAAGTCTGGCTTGAACGACTCTCGTGACTTTTTTGGCTTTTGCCGTATACCAGTTGTGGCCTGGTGGAAGAAAGAACTGTTTTTATTTAGCGTCAACTTTGCTGCCCCCATGGAGTAATGGGCTGGGGGGGCTAAGGAGGACACTACTGTACCCATGTGCCTGCCAGCTTTCCGTGTTTTTGCACCCAAGGAAATTGAGACCATTGTGGTGCCTGTCAAGAACCCAAAGGACCCCAAGAGCAAGAATGCTGTACTGGCGAACCTTCCAATTATCTTCCCGCATCGGGTCATTAGCTACCTCTGGGATGTTGTTGGTTTGAGGATTGCTGATGAGCAAGTCCAGGAGTTTTGGACACATGCTTTTGACACCGGAGATCCAACTTTTGAGAAATTTAGGGGCGTGGATTGTACTCATCGCGTCCCACTGGGGTTGTACGGAGATGAAGCACAGTTGTTCACGCAGCACAAGAAAGAAAAGTGGCTGGGCGTGTTCATTGACCTACCCCTATTTCGTCCAAGGAGCATACGATCAAGTCGGTACCTTGTATTCTCGATAGACGCCAACAAAGTTATGCCTGGGAGAACTCTGAATTGGGTCATGCGGACCCTGGTGTGGAGCTTCAACGCCCTCGACTCAGGGGTCAACCCAGATCGTGGAGTTGGTGCTCAAGACCTGCTTCCGCACCAGCAACACATAGCGGGGAGACCCATAAGTGAATCGTGCCCACATCAGAGGTTCAGTCTGTGCGAGATTAGGGGGGGACTGGCGCTATCACAGGGACCTTTGGCAGTTCCAAAAATCATGGCAAACACCAGAAGTGTGTTTCAGGTGCCCGGCTCGGTCATCTGGAGAGTACTGTGGGAGGTATTATTATACTGGGGAAGATGCATCGTGGCTTTCCAATGAGTACTCGGTGGAAAAATTTATCAAGGATGTCTTGCCTGAGAGGCGAATCTGCAAGCTGAGATCATTTCAACATGTTTTTTCTATTTTGGATGTGCCACCCTCTTGGCCTATAGGAGATGTCTATTTGGCATGCCTGACCGGAGATTCCCCCATCCACCCCAACGTCTGGCTAGTGCGTTTCAGGTCCATTGGTCCGCTTGAAGCACTTCAATCATCGCATGATATCTTGGTGCAGCATGCATGCGCTGAATTTGGGAGTGCTGTATGCCATGAATGCAGGATCACTGAAGCCTTTGCTAGATTCAGAAGTTTTTTGTGGATCGATCTGTGTTTGCTTTAAACCATGGCACCTCCCCCAATTGGTCAACGATGATGAGAAGCTGGCTGCAAAGCAGAAGCAGCAAGCAGTGCGCCGCCATGCATGGCTTCAACTAGGTCTAGGTTGAACTAGACTGGTGCTATACATTTTTGGTTACTGGTAGCATGAACGTTAACGGGTTCACCAAACATGGGTACTCAACCATTTCTGTCTAGTACAGTCTACGTGTATACATGGGGAGCATGAGAAGACTGTAAAGCAGCTTGTGTAGATTATTCACCCTGAGGTCCATTCTTTGTGAAGAGTTGGGATTTTTTTGGTGGAGTGACCTTTGCAGACCAGCTGGAAGAATCTTTCAAGCACTTCAAGGGGTGGTGCACTGCCAATAAGATCTCAAGTTCACAACTACCGTTCACACCAAAGCTGGAGACTTGATTATTAGTCATCAAGTTTACTTTTTGGGGGACGATTTATGATTTATGTCAATCAAAGCCCTTGGGGTTGCTGGGGTACTGTTCAATTTTGGGTGACTCTGCAAAGTTAGGTATTGAAGAAGAACGGTGAATACTTGATGACCGCCAAAGCGTTTAATGGGCGCATCATCGTTGCATGGCTGAGCTCTTGTCTGAAGGAGGCAGTGGATGGAGGCCTGTTCCCTGACCATGAGAGACTTCACATGGCATCCCTGGCAATGACACTGGTCCAAAAGGTAGTACAATTGTCGTTCTACTTTGTGTAAGAAAGGAGGCGCCATGGCCACCCTTCTTCATTAATCCTGTGCACTGCATGAGCAAGGACGGCAATGAACCGCTGGTTCTGGTTGCATGAAACCAACGGACGTTTTCTGAAACTAGCCCACAGGATGAGCAGTTTGTTTTTTCCACCTGAAAGTTTAGGGGCCACAAATGCATGCATGGGCATTGACACATTTTACACATTGCATCGTAAACAGCAACCTGCTTAGGACCCAGGAAGTGGGGAATGACATTTGCCGCACTGGCCTCCTAGTCATCTCGACATATACAGCGCTGGGGCGTCTCTCAATCAGGCGTGGAAGCCAAACAACGCTGCCCTAGACAATCAAGAAGCCGTTGTTGTTTAGTTTAAACAACTTAATAATAGAGTTGATCGATTATAAGCTATCAGTGTCCCCTGGGTGCAGGCAAAGCAAACAACAATTCCTGATGAAACCAAAAATACACGTGCCTTGTTCTACATGTGCATAAGTTTTTTTGTTTCTATTTGCATGCCCTTATGCGCATGGTAGCTATGTTTGCAAATTGGCAGTTGCGTGATTGAGCCTAGATCCTTGCTGAGCTTTCTCATGATGCAAGGCGTTTCAGAGCCTTGGCATTGCTCTGACCTGGTACACTGTTTTAACTTTTCACTCAAGGTCTAGAACGCCTAGCAAACCCACCTACTAGGCCTGATGAAGGCTATAAAGTTCAGATCGATTTGCTTCGTCTCGCAAGTCAAGGACGAAACTGCCGGTATTGGCACTGCTTCTGCGACGAAGATGCCATGAGGTGGTTGAAGGGTGACCCATATTTAATTTGCGTCCTTTTTGGTTGATGTATTGCACTTTTGGGGGTACGAGGTAGGGATCTTGGGGCTGCAATGCCTAGCCTAAGGCATATCGCGAATGGCAACAGCCAAGAACAGAGCTCATTGGACATTGCGTATGTCCTGCCTTCGCTTGCGCTCGATGAAGCACCGAGTCAAGAGGCTACTCATTTGCTTTAGCACAAGGTTGTTCTATTCCAGTATTTGTTAAAAATGGTTTGCACTAAAAGATGTGGAACAGTTCAGCCAGTGCAAGCAAGGTTGATGAAGAACCCACGGCGATAGATGTGTGAGAAAATGTGCACCATCGTGGTTGAGCGTGATTGACCGTGAATGACCGTGAATGGAGGGTGCCTGACGCAAGCTTGATAAGAATGGTTGTTCTAGAAGAGTGCTATTTAAAAATAGCTTCTTGATGGGTAGGGGATAATAATAATAACAATAATAATAATAATCATCATCATCATCATCATCGTCCGCTGTTAGTGATAAGACGTCTCTTTTTATGCTCAGTGAAGTCACCCAACACCATCGACGGGCGACTACGGCATCGATGCATATCGATGCACGTCTGGTAGCCTAACATCCAACATCAAACAAGGCTTCCGTGGAAGCCGTGATACAACACCTGGACCCGACTTCTGACAGGTCTCCGTACTTTGGAGGGGGGCTTGGCGGGGCCCTGCAGTTGGAGGTCGAAGCATTGTTGTGATCTGTGAAGTCGGGTGCTGGTCACAAAGTTCGAACCCTTGGGTAGGCACAAATGGCCGTGGGCCGTGGGGAACCAGGAGCTTTTCCAAGCAGAACCTGGTCGTCGTTCGCGACCCAGACGTGGGGAGTGGTGGACCAGTCCACCGACTGCCGCGTCCCAGGACTCCTCCGGGAGTCGGTCCGGACTGCCGCGTCCGGACGTCGTGTCGTCCCAGGCACCATCATAGCTGGTCACATGGATGTTGAAGTTCTCCACCAAAACGCTGCCGCCAAAGCATACCTGCGTCAGAAACAAAAGACGTGAGAAAGACTGATGATGATGATGATGATGATGATGATGATGATGATGGTGATATATGGTGATGATGATGATATATGGTGATGATGATGATGATGATGATGATGATGATGATGATGATGATGATGCTGGAGGGTGTTAAGGTCTCCATTGGTCACTTCATCTCTTTGTCATGGATGTAATTCTCCGAATTCTCGGCGGACATGACACAGGTCGATGACAACACATACAGTAATTCTCCTTCAAAGCAATCCTTCTCCTGTGAGGCTTCTAGCCCTATGGCGTGTGCGGTGTTCGACCAGGTGTCCCACCAAAGAGGGGTGACCAGGTTGACCAGGTCTCAGCCGTGCTTCGGCACCTACACGCCGTTGTTCGGTGTCACTTCACATGGTTACGTGGAGAACTCACGCCCTGTGACGTGAAGGAACGTAAGTCTTCCGGCCATGCCATCCACTTCCATGTACACTTTGGAAAACTAACATGGACCCTGAGAATAGTACCCTCAAAGACTGTTTTCCTCTACAAACCAGTGGTTTTCAGGGTCTATGTTAGTTTTCAGTGGGGTAGTGAGTCAGAGTGTAACTTGGACAATTGCTCAATCTGCTCGCTGCTCGCAGCATCCCTTCACCCCACGCTGGGCCAAGCGGCGGGTTCCGTGGGCAAGGAGCCTGAGCCCGTGCATTGCACCGTGTCCACATAGACGTCCGGAGCCCGAAGGCTCGGCTTGGCCAAGGCGAACCTGAGCCGGTGCCGTGCTAGAAGCCTCACGGTCTAGAAGCCGGTTGGAGACGGCCTTGGTCCTTCCAAACCACATAATCCTATCCCGAAGAACTGGCCTCCAAGTTCCCAGGTGGTCAAGAACCTGGTTCGAACGGAGTCTGGCAGTGTGAGTCAGTTCAACCTGCGTGTGCCATGCCATGTTCTTCACGTCGGCGCCGGGGCACGGAAGCATGAGGAAACCAAGCACACGAGCCATGGTCACGAAAGCGACGGAATCACGCGAGAGCGGGCCGAGAACGGTTTCGAGAACCAAAGCTGGCTGCAACTTGAGAAGATGAAAGTCACTGCAACAGGAGAACGGTACGCTCCTGCCACCTCTTAGACCACTACCTACTTTTGGGCCCTGGCGGCCCTGAACAGGCTGATGTTTGAATGGGGACTGGCGACCATTCGGCCTAGGGGCGGTTTGCCACGGATTTGTACATGTACCAGATCCCTCTGATACCTCCAAATGTGCCCACACATCCCAGAATTACAGTTGCATGCGTCTGGACTATGTAGACTCTTGATTCCGATTTTGTGCCCATCCCCGCCTTATTTCAGAGGCTCTTACATGGTTTTTCAATTGGGGAGGGTTTATTAATCAAGAGCCGTCATTCAAACTTTCTCAAGGACGCAATCACGTTCTCGGCGAGGTAGCGAAAGAGAGATCCACGGACCACTGATCCCCAGGCATTCCGCCACCAAGGGAAAATACTTAAGACTAGTAAGGTCGCTTGGGGGGGTCCCCCGCAGAACCCAGCAATCGCGCATGCGTGAATGGTAAACATGGTGTTAACAGAAGGACCCAAATGAGTTCAAGCGATATACCCTACTCAAACAGCATTGGAGTGTCACTTGGCGTGGGGTAAGCAAATCGCACCCCCACAACTTCACAACTGGGATCAATTTGCGATCAGCAGCCAAGCGCATTTTGGAGCATGCTAACGGGGCGAGCCACAGCGCATTGATTGCCGGTCGCGAATGGCCTTTTCCATCTGTATAGCGTGCACTTGTCGTGGCTCAAACAAGCCAAGCTGCAAAGAGAGCCCAGGGACCATGAGGCACCCTCAGACACAACGGTGCCTTCCAAATTGCTCGCTGAAGGGATATGCTGAGCGTCAGTGGGGTTGCGCAAACACTTCAACGATCTTCAACCACTGGACAGTCGATTGCACCCATCAGTGGTTCTCTAGCGCAAGCGCGGGTGGCCTCGAAGAAAGGTGACTACCAGGTCTAGTGGAAATCGCCCAGTGAATTTCCAACCAGCCCCTCCACACCTAACATGTTGAGATGCTCCAGATTTCCAGGGACGTCTCCATCTTAGCGTGAGGTGGATACAGTAGGTGGGGGGAGATGAAAACTCAGCACCCATCTAACGTAGACTGATGAATCATCAAGCCGCCCTACCAGGTCTTGCATCTCCGGATGGGAGGTGTTAGCAATCAACTCTGCATTGAGCTCATGACACTTGCTAGCATTTGCTGCCAAACGCCAACGTCCAAGTTGAATGGCCTCTTTGCCTGTGAATTAAGGCTGGAACCGGTCTCCGCCGGCCTCGCGGAGTACGTCAATTAGGCTTACACCTCACCGGCATCAGGGCAGGTAGCACTGTTCAGAACCACCCTCACATTGAAGGGCTTCACCAAGTTCACGATCAGCGAGTCCTTCCACAAACCACTGTCAGATCGCTCGAGCTCGCATGGCCCAACCCGTGGGCGTCCGGTGAACGCGACCCATCCGACGGGCAGGTCTGGCTCCCGCAGATTCAAAGGATGCGAAAACCCGTTTTCATTATATAGATGCACCTACCTAGGCCCTCTGGCTTGACCAAAGGGCAATTTTTGAGCAATAAGATACCTAAGTAACACTGTCAGGTTGAATCTGAGATAACCCTGGATGTCTCTACAGGGTGCTCTTCTCTACAAGCCAGCCGATCAGGCTTTTCTTTGGGTGGGGCACGGAACCCTCCGGCCATGGACACCTGCCATGGCACACCCCTGATCCATCTCGGAAGATCTGTCCCTCCGGTCACCTCTCCCAGGTTCCAAGGTCCACAGCCATCTGAGGGGTACCAACTGAGGGGTACCGTCCACGGTGTGAAATGGATCCAAAACCGTCGACCGGCGCGGCCCTGCAGCGCACCTGATCCGGACAATACCTCACAGAGTAGTCATACTTGCTGAGGCCACCTTGCTGAGGCCACGCCAGACAGAGGTTCCTAACAGTACTCCATACAGAGCTTCCTGACTAGATATGGCTTGAGGGTGTCCAATGCACGTGCATGCAGGGATGAAAACGGTTCTATCAATTTTGGCGTCACTCTAAGTCGAAGGGAAAATGAGAAAAGTTGAGCTTAGCAGCTGGCAAAAGAAAACCTTCCTTGCATATCGTGCAGGTAGCAGGGCTCTAGGCTTCTCACCCGCCTCTGCACACAAACCCATGTTCATGGCGTGATCTGCACGGTAGCACGAAGCTGCCCCATGACATGAATCTACAGACTATAGATAGCAACATCCTCCGAAGGGACTTGAACCCTCCACATCCCCTTCGCATCCCCTTCATTCATGCCTTCCGGAGAAACGAGTCATGTAAAAACATAAGTCCTGTAAAATGACTATCAGTCCTGTGCCTGTCAGCAACGCCATGTTGGCCGGACCACCTTCGGTTGGCCTTCCTTATTTGGATGAACCCATTTTTGTCCCGAATGCGCAGCGAAGAGTTGTCGTTGAACTCTGGGGTCTGGCTTGTTTGTTTTTGAGTACGTGTTTGCCTTCGGCTTCGTGGGTTAGAACCGTTCCCTCTTGCTCTTTCGGTGAGCACTCGGTCCAACGACTCGGCCATCCTGGGAACCGCGGCAGCCATGGTCATTCTCGATGGTGATGACATTGCCCTGAAGGCTTCACCCGAGGCGCAGCGCCGAAGCGGCGGCAACGACGTCGCGCCCGCGAGCTCGGGGCGCCGAACACTGCGGGGACTTCCGAGTTTGTTCAGGTGAGGTTTTGGGTTGCTCTGGCATGTGTCTTGGCACCACATGCGCTATTGTTTAGCGATGATGCACGCGCAAGAGTGGAGAGGCTCGCGATGATGAACATGCGCTGATGATGTGTAGAGGCTCTTCTTCTTTTCTTCCATCCAACCCTGAATAACCCTGACGTGGGCCCACTCGGGTCGAACTCTGCATGTCGATAGCATCCTGGCCGCGCCTGATTCTCGAACTCTGCACCATCACACTGTGCTGCTGTTAATCCGGCAGCCTGTCATGTCATCCCTGCGAGATGGGAAACCAGTAATGACACTCCCGTCGTCCATGCGTGGAAGTGGAAAATGAAGGAAAATGACCCCTGGAAAGATGATGTTCCTCTATGCTCCTCCACAAACAGTGGATTGTCCACCTCCATTCTTGTTGGAGGGGGGAGTCCTGGCCTTCAGAGTGCCAGGTAGCCTACCTCTACCTGAGTAAGGGTGCTCAACTTGGAGTAGCCTGTGATCAGTTCCAAATTCACTCAACAACGCCACCCTCTGTTATCACCTACGAGTTGGAACAAGGATTTACAAAACAACACGAAACCACCATCTTCGTACCGAGTCATTCACTTGATGTCATCTGCCGCTCTTGGGAAACATGCCGGTGAGCAAACCTACTCAAAACAACCCTCGAAAGTACTGCGTTCGTAACTCGACGTCCGTACCTTCCTCTACTCTCCGGCGACGACCGCGCCTGGAGGTTCACCGTGCCAATCTGGCCTGCGAAGCGGTGCGCTTCAGAGAAGCACGTGGTACGGAGCGTGGGCGGATGGTGGTGGTCACTGATGTAGCGGATGTGGTTAGTTGGAGGGTGGTCGCTGGGGAAGAGAAAAAGGAACAGCTTCCGGAGTTGTTCTATTGATTTTATGAATTCTATGATGAATAATGCTCACCCAAAACTGCTTCCTTTTTTTTGTGCGCGTTAGATCGCTGGTGTGTCACTGACATTCGCCCGAAGGCCATAGAGCTACAAGGAAACCGCTGCCCGGGCCAGCTTGCTCGCTGGGCTCAGGGCGGTTTGTCTCGGTGCCCCGAATTCGGGGTAGTCCCAATTCGACCAGCTTTTCCGGGCCAAAGGTGCCGGAGAAACCTGCTCCGGCTTGGGCCCCCCCCCAAAAAAATACTCCCATCCAACCAACGACCTGTTCAACCGTTTGGCTGGACGTGATCCCTCTCATGGCATCGGCATCGGCCCTTCCCCGACACCCGTTCGGGCGCCCCGCACGGGTCGCCCACTAACCGGGGCCCCCCGGCCATCATAACTGGTCACATGGATATTGAAGGTTTCCACCAAAACACTGCCACTGAAGCACACCTCAGGGTCTCGGTTTCACCTCAGGGTCTCGGTTTCACCTCAGG